CCGATGCGGGGCTCGATCCTATGACCCTGGGATCATGACCTGAGCCGAAGGCAGTTGCTTAACCAACTGATGAGCCACTCGGGTGCCCCTCCAACCCAGGTCATAGCCCCAAATTCTGGGCATTAGGACGTGCCTCTATCCTCTGGGCCGCCATTCAGCCCAGCACGGGGCTATCTTCCGGAGCGCACAGACTAGGAGAGATGCGGGTGAGGACCGGTGTCTCCAGGCCCGGCGGCTCCGTCGGAGGGGCTTGTTTCCTGGGGTGATGGTGGCCACTGGGCTGTGGAGACACTGGGCGCTCTGTGGGAAGGAAAGCTGGTTTGGTGCGGGGCGGGCCCTCGCAGGCGTGGGGACTGCTGCTCCTGAGGACATCCCGACTCCAGCTGGCCACCGCCGCCAGGGCCAGCAGCCACGGGCAGGAGGAGGGGAAGGAAGGCTGCGGGCTGCGGTGGGACAGAACCGTTGGACCGACCGGTGCCCTGGGTGACAGCCACCAGCTGCGTAGGCATGGGCTTCGTGCTTTACCAGGAGAGTGGACAAAGGCCCGGGGGAGCCCTCCTCTGACTGGCTTCCTCCTCGGGAAGGATGTTGGGAGGGAGAAGATGAGCCCCCGGAGTGGTGAGGGAGGCAGCCGTTCCCTTCCTGGGGTGCGTTCCTCAGGTTCTGGCTTTTACTGATGTTCGTGCCTGGGCCCCGGGCCAGCTGAGTCAGGGTCTGGGTGCAGGACCAGGCATTGGCTGGGAACCGCTGCCCTTCCGAAGCTTCCCTTCCTGGGGTGCCCTTGCTCCCTGCCTCCTCAGAGCACCCTGTGGGACCAGCTGTACACTAGACACCCAGGACTTCAAACCAGGCCATTCACTTAGAAGGGAGGGATTCTGCTTTTCTCCCCTTCTGGCTTTACCTAGATCGGGCTTCCAGAACAAGTGGTTGGGTCCCTTCTGTGAGGGAAGCAGCCTGCCTACCCAATGAGCAGTGGCCCCTTGACCTTCACAACCCCGGGTTTGGGAGGCAGAGACAGAGAGCTGGAAGCGCATCCCGCTGAAACCTGTGTCATTTCTTGTTGCTCATACGACGTTTCTTGTTGCTCATACAACAGTATTTCTTGTTGCTTGTACAACGATAGTTCTTTTAAGAAAAAAATTTTTTTTTTTTTTTTTTTTTAAAGATTTCATTCATTCATTTGACAGAGAGAGACACAGCGAGAGAGGGAACACCAGCAGGGGGAGTGGGAGAGGGAGAAGCAGGCTCCCCCGCGGGGCAGGGAGCCCGATGCGGGATGCGGGGCTCGATCCCAGGACCCTGGGACCACGACCTGAGCCGAAGGCAGACAGACGCTCAGCGACTGAGCCGCCCAGGCGCCCCTTAAAACTGTTTCTTTTCTCATTAACATATAATGTCTTACTTGTTTCGGGGGCACGGTTCTGTGATTCATCAGTCTTAACACAATTCACAGCGCTCACCATGGCACATACCCTCCCCAGTGCCCTGTCCCCCAGCCCGCCCAGCCCTCCCACCCCCCACCCCCCACCCCTCCAGCAACCCTCAGTTTGTTTCCTGAGGTTGAGAGTCTCTTAACGGTTTGTCTCCCTCTCTGGTTTCGTCTTGTTTCGTTTTTCCCTCCCTTCCCCTATGGTCCTCTTGTCTTGTTTCTCAAATTCCGCCTGTCAGTGAGATCATAGGATACTTGTCTTTCTCTGATTGACTTATTTCGGGTAGCGTAACACCCTCTAGGTCCATCCATGTCACTGCAAATTACAACAGTATTTCTTGTTGCTCATACAACAATGCGTGCCCTCTGTTACCCGCTGGCCAATGCTTAAGAGGAATCCAGGTGACCAACAAAACAAGCACAGTAAGAAAGCATTTCTCCCTCGCTAGTGACTAAAACGCAGACTCCAGCTAGACGAAAAGTGATGTGAAACAAGGAACAAATGGAGACTGGCGCCCTGCCGGCAAGGTGCAGGGGGGACGGGCCTGAGCTGCACCCCCGCATGGGGGCCGGTTTGGCAGGGCGGAGCAGGCGTGTGCAGGAAGCCTCCTCAGCGTGCTTGGCTGGGAGAGGCAGCCAGGTGCACATGGTGACCGTGGCGTCGGAGAGGAGCTCGCTCTGTCGCATGTTGATGTGAGAAAAGCCAGCAGGCAATGATGTATGAAGTGTGACCCACAATAAAAAAGTAAAAGCAGCCTGTGCACACCCTGCTACCGTTTGGATGGATGTGGGTGGTGGGCTTGCCGGCGATTAAGGTTTCCTTTTGTATTGATGTCGTTCCTAAATGGCTGTAATTTTGCGTGGGTTCCTTCGGGCCGCAGAGCACGCATGTAACGTCGGAGTCGGCTGAGGAAAGAGCGCACCGGTCCGGGACCGTGTGTCAAGGGTCGACTTGACGCTTCTGGGGCCTCTCTGCTGGGGGCTGCTCCGGCACGGTACCACAGGCCGGGCGGCTCAACCAACCGAAGCGCCTCGTGCCCCCGTTCTGGAGGCCGGAAGGGCAAGAGCCGGGAGTGGGCAGGGTCGGTCCCTTCCGGGAGGGAAGGAGCCGTTCCAGGCCCGTGTCCTCGGCCCGTGGACGGCAGTCATCTCTCTGTGTCTGCCCGAGGCCTTCCCTCTGTGCGTGTCTGTTCCCAGTTCTCCCCTTTACATAAGGACACGCAGTCCTGCTGGATTCCAGGGGCCCACCCTCGGGACCTCGTGATTAACTGTCCCCCCGGTAAAGCCCATGCCTCCCAATAAGGTCACGTCCTGAGGTCCTAGGGCTCGGGAGGCCCCTTTACATAAGGACACGCAGTCCTGCCCACGTTGCTTCTTGGGGTGGGGGGCCCACATTTCAACCCATGACACGGTGGGTAGCCCAGCCGTTTTATAGGGGCCCTGAAACAGTCCCGGGGAGGCGGCCCGCCGTCGCCTCCCTGAGTCTGCAGCCCCAGCCTGCACTACGAGTAGGAGGCCTTCCACTGCCCGCTGACCATTGACACGTTAGAAAGGTGACGGGGCGGAGCGGGCTGCGTTGGCCGAGGCCTGGGTCCCGCAGCGGGCTCTCAGGAGTCCGCACGGAGCTGCCCATTCCGGCGCCGGCGCGGCGCTGAGGCGGGGTGAGCGGCGGGCTGCGCCTCGGGGAGGGGACGGTGGGCGGCCTCCCCGGGACTGAAGGCCCTGCTGCCGGCTGATGGCCGCCGGCCGACCGGGCCTGTCGGAGCCTCCCCGCCTCCACATCTGTAAAGTAACATCAAAGCTTTGGCCTCCGTGTGAGTAGCTCCTGAGAGCTGGCTGTCCTTGGCATACTTTTCCACAACAATGGACGGAGAAGAGGAAATCAGACCGGTTTCAGTAGCAGTGCCTTTCGGGACGGGGGTGTGGCTGCCTCCTGGTTTCTGTGGGTTCCCCAAGATTCTTCTCTGTACCTCCTCCTCTGAAGCCACTGTTAGTTTATTCCGTATTGCATATCACTTGAGTGCACGTGCTTTTGTAGTGGCTCAATTATTCTTTCATGCAACAGCTGTAAGTAGCGGAGCATTGGGTTCTTTTTTTTTTTTTTCTCTCTCTCTTTTTTGAGCATTTTTCTCTAAAGTTACTCTGCATTTTCTAGAGCTCTGTTTCATATAACAGGTACTTTAAGCGGTAAATATTACGTCTGTCAATACACATCAGGGTTCCACCCCCTTTACTTTCTTCTCATTTTCTTCTTTTCCTCTTTCTCTCCATTCTTTCTCTTTCATCTATTGGAGGTCCTTGTTGAAGAAGAAGACAAACTGTCCTGTAGTTCTCGCGAGTAATAAAGAGCCCTGAGTATCAGAGCAAGGAGATCCAAATGGCTAAAATAAGTGTGGCGGGATAAGATCAGAATCTACTGTGAATTCAGGTGAAGGCTGTTCAGAATGCTTCTTTAAAACTAATTCTTGGGGCGCCTGGCTGGCTCAGTTGGTTACGCGACGGCCTTCGGCTCAGGTCATGATCCTGGAGTCCCGGGATCCGGTCCCGCGTCGGGCTCCCTGCTCGGCGGGGAGTCCGCTTCTCCCTCTGACCCTCTCCCCCGTCATGTGTGCTCTCTCTCTCTCTCTCTCTCTCTCTCACACACACACACACACACACACACACATTCTCTCTCTCAAATAAATAAATAAAATCTTTAAAAAAATAAAAATAAAACTAATTCTTGGGGCACATGGCCAGTTCAGTTAGAAGAGCATGTGATTCTTGGTCTGGGGGTTGTAGGTTCGAGCCCCACTTTGGGTGTAGAGATTACTTAAAGTCTTGGGGCACCTGGTTGGCTCAGTCCGTTGGGCATCTGACTCTTGGTTTTGGCTCAGGTCATGATCTCGTGGGTCATGAAATTGAGCCCCACATCCAGCTCCACACCCAGCCTGGAGCCCACTCAGGATTCTCTCTCTCCCTCTACCCCTCCCCCCCCGCCACTCTTTCTCAAAAAATAAACAAACAAATAAATACATAAGTACAATTAGCCCCTAATTCTTTAGTATCTATTATCCTGGTATTTAGGAATGAAGTGATAATTCCATGATCTATTTGATTGAAAGATCAGATTTTACCAGTGAGTTTACATCTTACAGCAGTAAATTTTTACTTGTGAGTTTAAAGATGCACTCTCACTGTGTCTCTCTCTGTGAAAGAGATAAAATCTTTAAAGATGCAGTCAACAAATGTATATTTAGCAAGGTGCTACGGGGGACATAAAAAGTATGACAGTCTGTGCTTCTGGGTGACCAACTACCGTTTAACATTTAATTGGAGTATATACAAAAGAGGAAC